CAGTTATGACCTGCTTCTTGTTTACTTCATCATTATCTTTGGAACTCACGCTTATACTTTAGCTACAAGCATGTCACCCTACTCTAGTGAACGAAATTCCTAAGGTTTCATTGCTTGAAAACTCGTGACTTAGAAAACTTCTCTTGAACCTTGTCTTAAACATTTCCCAAATCACAATTGTAGTGGTGGTAATAGATCTCTTTTCAAACTTCTGCCAATTCTTAACACTTTCTTCTAGGAAAAAATATTGCAGTGTTGACCTTCTGATCAGCAGGACATCTCATTAATTTCAATACATCCTCTATATGTTCCAGCCATGATTATGCAGCTTCACTCAGTTGCGACCGTCAATGGTATAAGCTTCATGGCTAAAGACAATTTTTACTAGTGGACGACCTCTTTTTCACTTGGAATCAATTGAGCTAAAGGATCGGTCAATTGCTTTAAACCAGGTACATTAGTTTATTCCCGCCTATAAGGCATAATTCTATCAATAAAGACTCTAAATTATTAGCACAATAACATGCATCATCCCATGCAAATGCATAACTTCTAACCATGCTCTGATACCCAAACTAACACACCCAACCCAATAGATATCAAACACAGGGTAGAGATGTGATGGCCACTACCAAATAGGTGATGAAGCTACAAGAAAAAAAATTAAAATTTGCATGTGATAGAAAGAGCCAATGAGTTCATGTTTAGCAAAATAAAAGTTCAACTACAACAATCTCCTCACTTGGGGACACGTAGTGTTGAAACTCATTATTACATGTCACATCAATTTAGAGCATAGTAGTAGTAAATGCAATAATACTTCCAAATAGTTGTGCAATGTGCAAACAAAAACACAAGTTTTATTATAATTTATTTGAACTAGATAAAGATAGTTACTCCATATGAGAGATGCACTATTGCCTAGTCCACTTGTCGTCATTCACCGTCACTTCTGTCTCACTAGGTCTTGTGGAGGCAAAAAACAAAGTGTATGTGCGATCACATGTATCTACTTGTATATTGCCAACATCTACTAGCTCTCAAGTCATTACTAGCATCTACTAGTACATTTATTATTTACTGGAAATAATAACACATGTAACAATATGTGGTGAAAATAAATCACAATATAATAAACTCAATTAAATATAATGTACTCAACAATCTCTAATCTAGTCTCATTCAAGAACGAAATCATTGGCATGTAAGTTTACCAAAATCATCATGTTCACCAAAACTGTTAATGAAAAGATCCACTTACAGAAACTCATATTGTTCCTCAGCAATAGGCGTTTTCCTTTCATTAAGACAAGTTATGTTTGCACCTGTATTAACACATTTAGTCACCTACTAGTCATGTAAGTTGCACCTGTATTAACACATTTAGTCACCTATTAGTCATGTAAGTTTCTGGTGTCAAATGTGATAAATGACTCTTAACTAGTGAAAACAGAGTGCACCACGTGTTTCATGACATCGAATAAACTTACGGTAAGTCTCATATGGCCACGCTCCACTGCACGCCAAGCACATGACGCCAAGCACCGTTGTACATGCATCATGCTCCACGGTACTCGCCACCATCGTTGGCGGGTAGCCGTCTCAGTCGACCTCGCACAGCTACGTCGAAACAATTGCAGTCACCGTCCACCGCTGCCATGTGTCAAGCAAATTTGAGCTAAAGAATGTAACAGAATATAGCTTTCAGTTACATATTCCTTTACAACTAACAGAATCCTTCATTGAAGTCGTTAAGTTCGCTGTTGTCGAGCTCCGTCGTTAGAATCTTTGCCGAATTCTACAATTTTTAACCCAAAACATAACTTAGTCTTCGTACATTCGTTTCGAATCTGCTTTTTCTCACGCACTCATTAGTACAAGTACTAATTGAACAAAACTATAAAAAATGATAAAACTAATTTATACTCAGTGGTCCGTAATTATTCAACATAAACTTTGCCAAGGCATTTTCGTCAATTCATACTTTTTGGTAATAAAAGACATTTATTTAAGCTACGGGTCATAATACACAAGGAAAAGAGTACACTAACGAAAATTGAATATACTTCTGAATAATATCCCTGAGTTTGATAAAATTTCATAATGAGAACTACTAGCATTGAAAGTCAGACAATTTATTAACAACGAAGAAGATGTTGGGTGTAGTGCACTGAGCTAAGTACAATAAAGCATCATTGCACTTAGAAATAGATATTCAGGCTCCAAAACCTCTTCCGCATCAACTTTAGGATGAAAAGGGCGTTCTCGTTTTGCATCTAGTGTTCAAATAACCATATGAGTACTCGAAGGTTTTGCTTTATCCTCATTAAAGTGCCACAACCTTCTTGGTGTAGTTCGATTGATGAACTAGAATACCATCCAAACAATGCTCAACCTTTAGGTTAAGATACTATCAAGTGCTGCCTAGATCTTTCATCTCAAATTTCGACTTCTGCTACCAAACCGTTTTCTCAAGCTTTTCGGGAGTCCCAATAAGCTTCATTTCATCGACATAACTGAAACTATGCAAAACCAGAATGCGACTTCTTGATAAACTAGCATGGTGATATATAATTCTTCACATATGCCTGACCAATCAATACTTAATCAGACAATAATACAACATTCGTCTGATTATTTCAATCTATAGATTAAGTGCCTCAATCAAATAAGATGGTGTTCCATGGTATAGAACTATTTGGTCCAGTCAATATAAGTCATTTGAAATATTTCATGTAGAAGTCTTATCAAGATCCCCATAGAGATACGTAGTTACCATGTCCATAAGCTGCATATTCAGTTTTTCAAAAGCTACCAAATTGATAAAGTAGCGAAACGTTATAACGGCCATTACGGGGGAATACGTCTCCTCGTAAACAATTCCAGGGCGTTGAAAGAATCCTTTCATGGTAAGGCATGCCTTATATCACACTACTTCATTCTTCTCATTACGCTTCGTTACGAAAACCCACTTATAGCCAACATGCGTCACATTTGGGGGTGGCGGAACTACAGACCCAAATATTTTACATTTCACAATGGAATCGAGTTTGACCTGGGCTTCTTGTTTCCAGTTTGACTAATCAATTTTACGTCGGCATTCATCAACGGACCGCAGTTCAATGTCATCGCTCATCATGATATCAATAACTATTGTGTATACAAATACATCATCGACTATCATCTTATTATGATTCCAAAATACATCTAACCTTGCATAATGACCAATATCTCTCTATACTTGGGAGGCATATTTGTCTCTACAATGGCACTTCCATAATCTAGAATACCCTTATGTGTTGGAATGTATGAGCTAGCAATGGTAGGATTCAAGCTAGGTTCACTAGTGTGTGTCGTGGGTTTTCTCTTCCAAGGTTGTGAATCCTTTGATCCTACACGTTTGCCATGCTTCAGGGTAGTAGCAAATGATTGGTTGGCCACCAGTGTACCAAGCCAAGCAACAGGTGCGGCCACCCGTCCTTTGGGGCCATCTCATCCTTCCAATGCGATGTTTCGACGTACACAAGGCACATCTATCCTTGAATGCACGTTTGCAGCTGATATATGTGATCTTGTCACTTTCACTAGGTCTAGACACAGCTCCTGCAATTTTTAGGGTTTTGGAATCCTAATTTTCTTTTCTTTTCGATATACTCACACATATTCATCATCATATAACATGCATATAGCATAGAACAGTAATCACAGTATACATAGAATAAATTAAATTCAAATAGATTAGGGTTTTACGATTACTTGGATGTTTGATGAAGATGTTGAAAAATGTACGCAGGATTTCCTTGGGATCCTCTGCTTCTCACATAGACACGTTCATGCTAATAACATGTTATGAAACTAATTATAAAAGTGGGTAAGAAAAGAAAGGAATGAGAGAGAGAGAGAGATATGGGCTGGTTTATGTGAGAATTGTGTTCCACCTCCTAGCCTTATGCCTTTATTCATACTAATCATAATGGTTTTTCTTGCCTTATAAGTAATACAAATTCTACAAGAATTTGATCTCCCAACTGCTTTGGGATTCCTATTTTAATGTACATCTTAATTTTTTTTCTCTGCATCTGTTTCTTGTTGCAGTTGATAATGGCACAAATGATTACTCAAAGTATTTATTCAAAATGTCACGCAGTAAAAGAAATAAAAGATGAAATTGTTGCAAATGGACTATAGAAATTACATCGTATCATTAATTATTTCCCACTACCACCAGCTGGCGCTACTTACCAACTTTCGAATGGCTCAAAATAAAGGATGTAATTCACAAATCAAAAGTCAGAACCCTTGTGTAAACTACAACTCAGCACCTTGTATCCTTTCTGCAAAATTAAGGACCATGCACGAGCAGTTAGCCTGTTAAACCTTGCATATGAAAATTAATTTCATCCCCCTCTCAAAGTAATATTTTAATCTTGAAACATAAATTATATGAATAAAAAATAAAATAGTAAGGTAGTTAGTACTACCGTCTAGTAGTATTTCTCTTTATGTGTAAGTGAGAGGTATTTATTACTTCCGATTCTTGATGAAGCCAAGTTTGAATTGGTTATTGTGGTTGGCTCATTGTATGACTTTGGCAAAATTTTCCACATTGAATCTTAACATATCATTGTATTAGAAAAAATGATTGTATTAGTTAAAAATATAGAACTACGAAAATGTGTATTGGATATATGACTTTTCCCCCTACAATTCAGATAACTTTCAGACTATTTGTTTATTTCAAAAATATGTTTCCTCCAATTTTGGCAAATTCTCATGTGTGTGTGTGTGTGTGTATTAATTAACCAAAAAATAAATCACCAAAAAGTTAAGAATAAGTCAAGGTAAGTTACTCAAATGTAGCATCTAATATAGGTGAAGATAGCATTTACTTCCACATCTAGATCCTGTAACCTTTTTTACCGTGATTAGCACTGCTTGTATGATTTAGAAAGCTCTATAAATTTCAGTATTCATAGACTGAGGCATCTCTTTCTCAACACTTGTATAAATGATCTTTGTGGTCGTTGTTGGTTGTGAATGATGTTTGAATCAAAGCAAACTCATCTTCGGTTCTTTGCTTTAACAATTATTCTTCTGTACTTGCACCCTATAGCACTTACAGCTAAACCACTTGGTAATGCTAAATATATGGACTTTTCTCCTCCTACTTACTCATGTGCAGAAGGAGAAGTCGTGAGGGAATCATTTCCATCATCTTACAATGATCATCATTATTACATTCATGTTGAATTCGAATTTTTTATGCAGACCAAGAAATAGAGTTTGATTATAGAGAAGGAAGCGAGAAGGGGCCACAACACTGGGGAGAGCTTAAGAAAGAATGGACGGCATGCAAAGATGGAAAATCTCAATCACCAATAGACTTAATGGAGGATGGTGCCACCAAAGTGATCCCAACTTTTAGGGATCTTACAATGCACCATAAGCCTTCTGGTGCAACTCTCAAGAATGAAGGTCACTATATCGCGGTGAGAAAGTTAGAATCACTTTAGAGTTGTTTCATGGTTTTAAATGAGTACAATGTATGTCACATAGTATTATAGTCTAGCGGTATTTTCTTTACTTGTAAGTAAAAGGGTTTAATTGACTTCCTCACCTCTTAGTGTAGATAATATCATATATATGTTAAAAAAACATAGGGAATGCATGGTCTGTTAAGTTTTACAACGTATGTGGTAACAAAAAGTTATTTATTTATTTCCATATTGAATATCTATCGTCTGTGAGATTTGAATTCAGGATTTCATAAAAAAAAACTGGAGATTAAATGATATAGTCAATGTGAATTCAGAAAAATGGTCACTGAAGAAACACTACATTAATATTAACCCAGCATACTCACTATTAGCAAAAATGATAGTGTGCTGCTTTCATTTTCAAATACAGCTTTGGTTTTATTCCTCTTGCCAATTTCTTGATTATGTATTGTAATTATTTGGATCAGCTTGAATGGGAAGGTGATGCTGGATCTATCCAAATCAACGGCACAAATTACTTCCTCAAACAATGTCATTGGCACACCCCATCCGAGCACACCATCAATGGCATAAGGTCTCTCTCCCTCAGTTCCTTTGTCTTTAAAATCCAAAATGTTTCTTCCTTCTCTAAAGAGTTCTCCTCATTAGGTATGATCTAGAATTGCACATGGTACACCGAAGTGCCGACAAGAACAGTGTAGCTGTAATTGCCTTCCTCTACCAAGTTGGTCCTCCCAATCCTTTTCTCTTAAAGGTGAAAATCCTCAAAACACATATATATGTAAATGAAATTTTAAGAGATTGATGGCGTTATTCCAACTGTTCCACTTTTTTCAGGTGAGCAAGGATACTGTCTGTGATTGGTACGAAGGAGAAACACTTGGGAGTGATTAATCCAAGTGAAATAAAATGGCCTAGCTTAAGATTTTACAGATACGTGGGATCACTCACAACCCCTCCCTGTACTGAAGCAGTTATTTGGACCGTAAACGAAGGGGTACAACCCCTTTACCAACCCTAAAGAATTTTTCCTGTCTTGATATATATCAATAAACATTTAGCTAACCATAAACTGCATCCTCAGGTAAGTATTGTTTCAAGAAGACAACTGGAGTTACTTAAACAAGTAGTTGATGATGTACGTCACCTTATCTTTGTTTAGTGGTTACTATTTCTTTTTCTATTTTTTTTTAATTTAACAATTATTTAGATTTGAACTTAGGTAAAAATTGAATAATGGAATAAAACTGACTAAAATATGTTAGCTGTCTTTATTTGTAGAGATACTTCCCTTTGGCACAATTCACCACGCGGTGTTTGTTGAACCGGTAATTATGCCACTAAGACTTAATTATGGCACAATTCACCACGTGGTGTATATATTTATTTGTAAATATTTATAGCATTTGTGTCTAGTTATATCATTCAAATAAAAACACAATTATTTTTTAATCAAATATGATATGTTTTTTTTCTTCGTACACACTTTTAGTGTTAAAAAAAACAAGTCAGACATTTAGTCTTTACACATGGGCATAATCTTTGTGGCTAATGTCAACTTGTGATGCATAGATGGCATGATTATTTGTGTGTTAAAAGAAAAGAATATGAATATAACTAATTTGACTCAATTGATGTGAAAAATATGACAAACGATATTTGTGCTTAAAAGTTGGTTGTCTGTGAGTAATTTTATATAAGTATCACGACCTCCTTCAAGATCATAAAACCTCCAGCTAAACCGAATGCTCATTGCTAGTGAATACTGTACCAAGTTTAGATACACTAGAGCATCAATTAACTCTGTATACTCATCAGTGAGGTATAAATTTTGGGGACATGCATATTAACTTTTTTCTGTTAATTATAATGCAGTATGCAGTGATGAATGCAAGGCCATTGCAACCTACCAATGACCGAGGTATCAAGCTCTATGGCTCGACATCATGGTTAAGTGATGACAAAGTATCTCATCACACAACGATTAATGCTGCATCAAGCCCTCAAGAGTCGATCAATGCAGCGAGTGCACAAGAGAGTAGCCACAGCCCCAAACAGGGTAACCACAGTCCCCAACAGACTGTTAGACTATTTCCGCAAGTAATCGCGTGTCTGTTCGTGTGTCTTCTCCACTTGGTTATTAATTAAGATATCAAATATTTCCTTTGTTGGTTTTTTGTGCTTTCTTAGTAGCCTTGTAATCGCTTTGTAGTTTGTGTTGAATTTGTGAAACATGAGAAAACAGCATGAATTTGCTGCACCAATTGTGAGTTTCTGGTGTCCCATTTCTGGTAGCCTTTCATTTTCTACCTCAAACTCAACGAAGGACATTACATGATTAGGTACAAGCTCGTAATACCAGTATTTAGAAGTAATCTTAATTCGGCTAATTAAAAGCATTCACTAATCCACCCAATGACCGGAATTCGTCTCCTCTTATTACTATAGTCTAAAGTTGAGGGGATTGTTGTGGAGCCAAAAATAATCACAAGGCGACACGTGGATTCTTGGGTAAAAGAGGACAAAAATACCCTTGAGGCATATTGGGATTCCTACGCGCGAGCAGCGGGCAATCATCCCTAAACCAAGTCAAAAGTGCCCAAAATAGGTAACAATTTAAAGCCTATTTCATCAAATCCTTTCTATAAGGTAATTCCTAAAACCTAATTTATTCTATATATTTTGTATTCCATTATTTAGCTAATCAATTAGCTAAATGATATTTTCCTTTCATATTCCCTAAAAATTAATTAATTAAGGGATTAATTACCTAATCAATCCCTTAATTATCAAATAAAACACCCATTCACACCTAAAACTACTAAGAGGCCGGCCACCTCCCTTTTCCTAACCTTTTTCACTTTTCTCCATTTTATTACCCCATTTATACAAATAATCAATTTTGTAACTCCTAATTAAATATAAATTAAACCCAAAAAACCCTAGTCACCTCCTATCCCTATAAATATACTCTCATTCTCACAAAAAAAGCCAATTCCAACACTTTGGCAAAAATCCCAAAATTTTCTAAACACTCTTTCTCTCTAAATTCTAACTTTGGCATCGGAAGTTCTTCGGCCAAAGCCCCCCCCATTCATCGTGGGTGCGTGAGGCTCTTGGCCTTAACCTAAGGTGTTAATTGTTTTGTAGGTGCAAAATTGTCCAAGATTAAGGAGGAAGAAATTTGCATCCACAAATTGGTGCTTTCATTGAGAGTTGAAATCCATACTCGTAGAAGACTCTTGCACAAAAAGGTTTTTTTTTTTTAATTTTCTAGTCCATTTGAATATTTTTCATACGTTCCTATTATTAGAATGTTTTACTGGCAAAGGTTCTTTGATAAAACGTATAAGCAAAATATAATGGCTAGAAATTTAGAAAATTCCACAAGTGAAAATTCTAATGTTCAAGAAATGGGATTGCGGAGATCCGTGAGGCTAAATGCGACAATAAGTGGAGCAGCACCACCACCACGAGTTTCCACCATGGGAACCACCACGGTGGCTACCTCGGTAGCCACCCGTGGCGAGGTCCATGGTGCCTTAACCACGGCTCGAGCTGTGCCATCCAAGGCTCACGGCACCAAGGCCACGACCTAAGTCGTGCCATCCAAGTTTGCACGGGCCCGGGCCCAAGCCTCTCATTTACTTGCATCACATACTAAGCAGCCTGCTCCCGCCAAGCAACCTGCTCTCGCGGCCCAGCTTGCTCCTGCCAAGCAGCCTGCTCTCGTGACCCAGCCTGCTCCCGACGAGCAGCCCACTCCCGTGGCCCAGCCTACTCCTGCCAAGCAACCTGCTCTCACGGCCCAGCCTGCTCCTGCCAAGCAGCCTGCTCCCGTGACCCAGCCTGCTCCCGACGAGCGACCCATTCCCGTGGTCCAGCCTGCTCCTGCCAAGCAGCCTGCTTTTGTGACCCAACCTGCTCCCAACGAGCAGCCCACTCCCTGGTCCAGCCTGCTTCCGTCGAGCAGCCCACTCCCGTGGCCCAACCTGCTCCTGCCAAGCAGCCTACTCCCGACAAGCAGCCCACTCTCGTGGTCCAGCCAGTTAAGCAGCCCACTCCCGTGGCCCAGCTAGCTCCAATCGAGCAGTCCACTCTTACGGCCCAGCCTGCTCTCGTGGCTTTCCAAGCAGCCAAAGTCGGCCCAAGACTATCTCAACCATCCGGACCTACCATCGAGCCAGGGGCATTCTCACCACATTTTTTCGTGGATTTGACATTTCCCAACTCAAATCTCATGCCCGGAGTCTACCACCCTTCCACTACTCAAAGAGGCGTATTCTTTCCAAGCTCTTCCAATCCAAATGGCAAACAACACTTGTCTCGACAAGTCATAGAGTTAACGAGTGCCCTTGCACAACAGACAACCTTGGTGAATCAACTTTTGCAACACATCGGGATCCAACGTGCCCCGGACGAGGTATCCCGAAGTAGGACAAGGGCAGACAGACCTTTCCAGCAGTGTCCCGGCAAGCAGCCACTCGACCAGCCACGAGCCGAACGTTTGGGTAGTGTACATTCCCGTCTTAGCGCGCGGAGGAGCATGCACTCTCGACTAGGCCCACGGATGAGCATACATTCACGGTTGGGGTCATACCCCGATAGTCAACATGAGCAACCTTCCGGGCAAAGTGTCCATTCGCGGCTAAGCCCACAAGGAGCATCCTCCACCTCATATCAGAGTAGGCAGCACGACGGACGGGGAGAAGCAGTCACTCAATCCCACTCAAGTTCAACCAGTAGCCTGCGAAGAACTCGCTCGCCTGCTAGGAACGCACCACATGCACTGCATCCGCGACATAGACGACCCAAACACATGGAAGAGCAACCTAGACCAGCAAGTCATGGCTGAGGGCAGCTGAGAGCTCCGCTACCTCAACAAAGGCAAATTCAGGAAGAAGTAGAGAGACTATTGACCAAGTGATGCGATGAAAGTTAAGCACTCAAATTAAACCCTCTTGTTGTCAAATTGTAGTATAAATGCAAGTAGGGATCGTTCTAAACCGGGGATTAGGAGGGCTTGCTAAAACCTCTAAACTTACTCAAAACATAAAAACAAAGTTAAAAACGTTTGAATAGACTCAAGGGACTCAAAACAGATTCTAAAGACTCAAAACAACTTAAAAACACTCAAAACTGCCTAAAAACATAAACTGGGCAGATTTGACTCTAACACAACTTTGGACGAATTTAGTGTTTTGACTTATATCAAAACACTCTAAAACACAAACAGAACAGATTTTAAACACTTTGGAACAAGAAAGTAAAATGGGGGTTTTGATTTGGATGAATTTGAAATAAACAAGCAAGTTATAAAACTAGGCAGATTATAAAATGAATTTGAGAAATAAAATGATGGATGGATTAGTTAGAGGTCCGTTCTTCACACATGACACACTTGTACATGAATCGATTTCCAATTGCTTTTCAATAAACTATGATACTCAACACCCCAGATTAACCGTGATGCACAAATTAACCCTCAGATTTTCCTTTACTCATTGAATTGGATGAATGCATGCGACAACCCAAATCATTCTCTAAAAGTCCCCTATATGAATGCATAATAGAGATACAATCAGAGATCATTACGTTCAATGAAAATCATAAGTGTTGACGAGACAATTATAACTATGAATGCATGATACAATTGCCAAGAATTCAATTAACGCGATTGTGATAGACAACCTTCACTACTCATGAATATAAACTGGTAACGATTAGGTGAAACTCATTTATATTAGCATCTAATTCATGCATGAAAACTAAGTATGCATCCTTAATAAACATACAAGAATCAGTTATGAATAAAATAGATAATTAAATTGCAATCACAACTTATCAAATCACAATTGGAAGAAATCAATTCAAATCTCAAGCATGTTCATGGCTTCAAACTTCCCCCTAACTAAATAGGGGTTTAGCCACTCATAATTGCAACAAAATTAGAAAATAACAAAGTAGATTGAAAGCAAGAACGGAGTACACCTAAAACGCTCCAAAGTTCCAAGCTTGAAACGTCAAGGACCTTTGTTTTCACCACCTTGTTGTAGCACAAGTGTCTAGGATGTGTATGGATATATGGATGGAATGGATTTGCACGGCTAAGAGATGAAAGTGTATGGATTTGTGAGATGTAGTATGGCTAGATGAATGGATGGAGGTCACGGCAAGGAAATTGTGTTTGTGAATGAAGTTGTGAGATGTGAAATGTAGTGTCTTTGGATGATGGCCCTCTAAATTATGGTGAAGGGTGGATGTATTAATACGCTAGGGAGAGGAGTGTATGGAGTTGTAATGAGTGGAAGTAATGGGTGTAGTGGGTGAGTGTTGTGGTAATGAGTGGATGTAATGAGTGTAGTGGGTGAGTGTTGTGGTAATGAGTGGATGTAATAGGTGTAGTGGATGAGTGTTTGGTAATGAGTGGATGTAATGGGTGTAGTGGGTGAGTGTTATGGTAATGAGTGGATGTAATGGGTGTAGTGGGTGGATGTTGGTAATGAGTGGATGTAATGGGTGTAGTGGATGGATGTTTGGAGTTGTAGGTCAACACACTTGCACACACACATGTTGATTTCTAGCCTTCAAATCTTAAAAAACGTCCATCCTTATGTCTCCATGCTTGCACTATCCAATCTTGGCTAAAAAATGCTCAAAAATGCTCCAAAATGCACTTTCTTGCCAACTTTGTTATTATGACCTACAAACACACGAAAATAGCTTAAAATACATAATTAACTAAGAAATAACAACACAAATGCACAAGAACAAGCTAACTAAGTCGCATAAATATGTTCCTATCACCAAACGATTGCATGATTTCCAATGCAATGAGGTCACCGACAAGGCACTACGACGGAACATGACCAACATAAGCAGGTCACCCTTCACGGACGAGATCGAGCAGGCAGAGCCTCCACGCGAGTTCAGCAGGCCACATTTCACATCTTTCAAAGGGGATGAAGACCCGAAGAGACACTTAAAGCGCTACCGAAGCACAATAATCCTTTATCGAAACAACGATGATCTCATGTGCAAGATATTCGCCACCACTCTAAAAGGCGAGGCACAAGATTGGTTCTACACCCTACCGCCACAATCCATCCGAAATTTTTACGAACTTTCTTTGGTTTTCACCAAAGAATATTCATCTTATCACTCAATAAAAAAGAAGTCTGACCATTTGTTCGACATCAAGAAGAACCCAAAGGAGTCGCTTCGCGACTATGTGAGGATGTTCAAAGTAGAGAAGGCAAAAATAGTCGGATGCAATGACTCGA